ATTCAACAAGAAAACTGCTCCTGCATGTGGATTAGTCTAGCAGGCTAACATGGAGAAAATTCAAAATACTGGGATCGTTTATTTTTCCACCTTCTTCAAATGTCTATGCTAGCGAAGATGGCAGCATATTCAGCCCCTAGCATGAGAAAATGCTGCTTTGTAATCATCATCTTTTCTCTGCCCTTGCAGATGAACCGGCCAATCCAGGTGAAACCAGCAGACAGTGAAGGACGAGGAGGTAACTAACCATTTTCTGTTCTCATTTTTGGCCTTCTTCTTTATTATACAGACAACCAAACACACAATTATCCAGATAACAAACAGGACTTTTTGCAGTAGCATTTTGGGGTCTTTCATTTCTGAATGCCTAAGGTTCAAGTCTGCCTCAGGTAAGAAACGAATGGAGGCTGGTTCTGAGAAGTCTTTCTACAAAAGCAGGTTCTGAGGATTCTCAGCTGGTTTAGGACAATAGTGTAAACAATGAGAGTAATAGTATAGCTGGGTTGGGTAAGAGCCCACATGTTTTTATTGTGTAGAACACTATAAAACCCCAGTCTTAAATTATTAATTAAAGCACGTTTTAATGATTGAAATGGTTCAACACAGTTTTCAAATAATATGGAACAAAGATTAGCTTTTGTTTTTTACAAGTTTTCATAAGCTAGAATGATGGGACAAATTACATTTATGTAGATTTTACTATCCAAGCTGACAGTCAGAGATTTTGAACTGTAGACTTGATTTTCCACCTTGAATCTTACATTTTCCATTATGTCTCGTAAGAGCTAATGTACTCCAAAAGTAAAAAAAAGCACATTAAGAAATTGGTGTGTAGTCTTAAAATGTTTGTGTAAATTTAATTCAAAATGCAAATAAAGCACTAATAGAAACTATTAAAATACAAATGTAAGTAATATTGTTGATAATCTCACTCTTTAATTTGCTTACATTTACTGTACCTCTAAAAAGTATTATAAAAAGTTAATACCAGACTTAAACAAACATGGATACATAGTTCATGCTACAGTTTGTCTTAAAATATTAAGCATTGAATAAATTTCCGGCAAGATATTGCATTATAGTTCTCTCAGAATCAAGGCTGTACTCATAACTGTTTTCCTGCCATAACACGATGAGTTATTATTTGTTATTAAAACAAAAAAAAGACATCACAAAATGGGATGTTTAATAGCAAGTGAAAGCTGAGATGTACTCAAAGAGCTCTTAGAGGAATTTCTAAGTGTGCGAGCCAAGACAGGCCAAGCTGTTTACAAGCATCATTCTTCATGATCACCAAATGCATTGTCAGTAAAGTAAAAATGAAAGGCTGTAAGTATTATAAATACACTGCTGTGGAAAAGTCTTGGGCATTTTGCACTCTTTTCATGGAATGTTTTTCTTTTCTTTGTTTATGCAGAAACATGTTTTATGGTGGCCTCCTGAAGTTATGTTATGTTAAGTTATGTTTTAAGATTTTCATAATACAGCAGATCTATATTTTGTCATACAAAAAATAGCATTTTAACTGCATACATGTAGATCTGCATAAAGGAACAAAGCAGACTAATGAAGAACACTTGATAGTGAGTCAATTGAATTTCATTGCTAAATGTGATGGATTATCCACTACAAATTGAAATTATAACATACATTTGGGAAGAAGGTTAGATCCTAATTTTACACACTTCCCCTCTTCTTTATATACAATTTATATACCTTACCTTGTGGACTGACTTTTGTGTACTTCTCCCCTTCTACCCTTGCAGCAGCTCCCCAGCTCATTCCTCATTCTACTGAGGCGGGTCTGATCAGACTCATCCTTACAGTCAGGCTGCCATTCTTTCAGCTACACCAAAGTTACACCAAATAACCTCTAAAACATCTGTCCCATCGCATTCATAAGGATCTAACCAAACTGCTGAACACTTTATGTTGGCTTCTTCTGTATGCTTTACCTTGAATTGCTGTGCTAAAACATTTGAAATGATTATGACCAATATGAGTCAAAGATAGCTAGATTGCGGGACTGACTTATTTTCATCCAGACCAAGTTGTTGACCAAAATGAGAAAGGGTACAAACAGCAGGGAGTTATTCCACCTTTCTAGATTGCTTGGCTGTTAATAGTTAAGTGATGTGAGGATCTCATCTATTTTCTTCTTGAACAATGACAGGCTTCTTTTACGAGCTTTGACAACATGGCTGGGTACCTGTCTACTAGTCTCAGTTCTAAATGCACTTCCCAGTGGATGCCACTTGTATGTATGGTTCACATTTCACTGCTGGCTCTAAAGAAGTCCAATGGGTTTGATTCTAAATACAGAAATACAGTACTTCATTAAGGTTTTCTATTACATTTCAGTGGTGCCAATCAAAGTTTTTCTAATGGCAGAAAACCATAGTGGAGATAGTGAGTAAATTGCTGATGCTCATAATATACAACTATCGTAAGTACTGTTTGTGTCTAAGACTTTTGCACAGCAGTGTAAGTAAATGTGACAGAGACCCAGGTTTAAGTATAAGGCCATTTGAGGTTTTCCTTGACACTACAACCCCTCCCCCTTCTCTCCTTGTAAAGAGGTCTGATTGTGATTTACACAGCAAGGTTAGGGTTTGGCAGCTGATTTCCTCACCACGCAAATCCCATTTAGATCCTATTTTTGTCACGGCGCCACTTTAATTAATGGCCATCTAAAACCAGGCAAAGTCCGACTGACAAGGCTTGGGATGGAGCCAGTCTGCATTTTACGGAGATAAATTGGACATTGGGTTTAAGAGAGAAGGATACATGGGCCATGCTATCAATTACTACTATTTTCAAGAGGCAGAAAAGGAGAAAAACAAGAAGCAAAAGAAAAAAAATGCATGAACTACATATTGGTTGATGCACGTCTCGGGATTGACAGTCTGCATATGCGATTGAGAGACTGCTTTTGAGGGCTGTTTAAAAAGGGCTGGAAACTACATTATATACTGTACCAACATGGGCACAGAAATGTAAAGCTTTAATGTCAACAGGCACCTGGACTGTAAAGTCGAAGAAAAAAGCAGAATTGAAAATTAAACCTAATGAGAGACTTGTTTTGCTTTTTAGTTTTCTGTACGATTCTATCATTCTATCTTTAGGGATTCATCCCAGAAAGCCTGAAATATGTGCCTTACTGCTGTTTCCTATCCATTGTGTGGGAACTTCTAGGAGGTTCTTTGATTTTTGTGTTTAGATGGTTATTAGTCCTGCTACCTTGTTATTCCTTAAAAAATGCATCTATTGAAATGACATTTTACAGCTGAGTGAGCCAAAGCAAAGCATGTTGGTAGTGCATCACCTCATTTCAGATCTGTGTGGAATACTGCTTTACGTTCTGAGAATGCTCAGGCCCTTTTACTAGTGAACATTTATGGATGGATTCTGAAAACATTACAATGCTAAATAAAATTAGATATGCATTTTTATTTAATAATGAGTGTATTTATGAGTAGCTTTGACTATAAGAATTTTCATTTCTCCTGGACCATACTGCTCACTGTCCTATCATGAACACAACACTGTCTAAACCCCCGTCTATGAGCGCTAATACACAGCCAAATGTATCTTTCTCACTCCAATGCAACCTACAATGTGTTTTTGAGCAAGCCACTCAGAATTTAACTCTTTTGCTAAATCTATACTCAGGATTAGGAAGCGTATGTCCCTCAATATGTCTGACCTCCCATCAGTCTCTGTACCAGCAGCTTGCAGAGAGGTGTGGCGATTGAGTTTGCAGAGGGAGCAGTGAGAAGCTGAGTACACACACAAACTGAGTAATAAAAGACAGCAGAGCTGCCTTCACTCTGCTGGGAATTTCTTCCCCCTGACCTTGTCTGCTGGTGTCTCAGTGAGGAAAAGATCAAGCCTGATAATCTCTGATTGGAGATGGCCGTTATCTAAACACAATCTGTTTGTTTGCTCTGTCCCACTCCTTGGAGTTCGGCGAAATATGGAACACATCCAATTACCGGGGAGATGAAGAGAGACGGCAGGCAGGTTGCAAACCCCATTCTCTTTCATTAGCTGTGATAACAATGAGTCCTCCTTTCCATCACAACCTGGAATTTCTGCAGGGGCTTTTCCTTTGTAACCTTTGTGAGGGGACTTTTTGCCTGATTTCGTCCTTGTAGTCTTCTGCTTGTCTGAATGGGACTCTAGCAGAAATTATGGAATTGATGCAGCCCTGTGCAGTACTGACATGCCTTACCCAGCATGTTGGAGCAGAAAAGATCAATGGGCTATGTGCATGTGGATTTCTGAATGGCTGTCTTCAGCCTTCAGTATCTACAGGAGTTAGAAATTGCCATACATTCAATTAATCTAAATTTTCTGTCTCTTGCTCTAGTCATGTTCTATATGAATTCCAGTAGCAGCATCTGTTGAAAACCAAAAATAATGTGATTTGTTCATATTTAAAAGAAGACAGGAATTGAACATTTAGCAGCTAAGTAGTTCAGGTGGGTAGCTGCGTCAGCATGCGTAGGCTGCAAAGGAACAAGTAATAGGTTTATTCCATGCTGAATAAAAGAAGAAAGAGAACACAACGTTTCGGGCGTGGAGAAGGCTCCACACATAGTCAGTTTTCTGTGCCTCGAATGTCACCAGAAGCAAGGGAGAGGGCCATTGGCATGCTGCAGGCAGGAATGTCATGTGCCAGCATTGCCAGACACTATGGAGTAAGCCACTCCACTGTGTCCCTACTGCAGAAATGGTTTTGGCAGATTGGCAGGACAGATGACCATCCAAGTTCTGGTCGCCCTAGAGTAACCACACCAGAGCAGGACCGACACATCGGACTGATCCATCTGAGAGATCGTTTCAGATCTGCCACCCTGCCGGCAGACACAATGCCCGCATCAGTAACAGGACAGTGAGGTTCCATGCTGCTGGCCTTAGAGCAAGGTGACCTGTCAGAGGCCCTCTACTCACACCTCCTAGACGTCACACCCGACTGGCTTAGGGCAGACAGAGGCTGCCATGGACTTGTCAGCAGTGGCATCAGGTCCTCTTCATGGATGAGTCACTCTTCAGCACTCTTCACAGACAGGAGGGCCAGAGTGTGGAGAAGGGGGTGTTGCATTTCTTTTTTCCATCAGTGTATATAGTATTCTATTGATGCCATCTAAAACTATCATTTAGTGATAAAGGTACAAATCAGTGGTACAGTTTTTTTCACGTTTTTACATGTAAAGGTACAGTGGTAGATACTAA